TCACAGACATCAATGACAAGGATCCTTCCTCCTTCTCAACATGTTCCCTTTGCCATAAATAGTGGGGACCATTATTTGGGAAGGTTAGGGAAGTGGCAGACAGTTTGTATGGCAGCATCTGGGAATTTTCTGGTCATTCAAAAGGAACCTGCGTCTATCCAGTTGCACCCAGATGCTCTGAAAGAAAGTAAAATGTGTCACTGGGTTAGCATGAAACTGATGCTCCCAAGATGTCCCATCCCAAAAGCACCTCAATAAAATTCAGCAGCCGGAACATGCCATGGTTTGAAAGTCAGGGGAAAAAAGGGTGTGGGGAAAAGGAGATATTTGCACAAAGCAAAAGTGCATACTGGATGAACCTCTCATGAGAAGTCTCACTACATCTCTCTCCAGTGAATGCTTAGATCAGCTCTGCAAGAAATGCTAGGAGATGAGGCTGCCTCCACTTTAAATGACTTTTCCATCAAAATCCTAGGTAAAACTGGCAGTGCTACAAAGCCCATTTCATAGCCCTCAATGATGCAGAAATTTTCATCTCTGGAGAGAGCCAGGAGTTGGGATTTCAGATTAAATCAGGCCAGAAGTAGTTTCCTTATAAATAGCAGTAATATCAGAATGCCTCCTGGACCTCAAAGAGAAATCAGTCGGCTAAGGATCTGGCCGCTGGGCTGCACCAGTCCAGGGGATTGCAGCTCAGGATGTGAATCATGGAAGCAAGGCAGTCATATCCTGTTATGCGAGCGCTGTTTGTTTTTCCTGCTCCTTCAGCCCTGGAGCTCTGAGCCATGCCTACCATCGAGGCTGCCAGCTGCAGAGACAGCAAGGTGGACACCTGTCAGCAGGAACAAGGCTCACTCACCAATCTGCTACCCAGTGGCTTCTTTGGCAGCCATCAGCTGGAAGCATGGTCAGAGAGCAGCCAGGATCCTGCAGGTCAGAAACTTTGATGTTGGCTCTTATTTTCTGTAGGAGAGACCCATGTCTTGTAAAGCATGAGAATGCACTGTTCTCATTTGATTACCTCTCCATAGCCTTAACTAGAGGTGAATAATTAGCCAAAAATGGCAGCTGAGGAAAACCAGGCTCCTCCACTGGCATACATCAGTAACTTTGGTACATAAAGTTGGTTAATAGAGAGGGGTAACTGTCTCCGGGTCAGTCTCTAAGACCACATGAAAAACTCTGGAGCAACAGACATTGATTTTATACCTATGATCACTGTAAAAGACTGATTTTGAAGACCTCAGGCCAGTAATAAGTACAGCACTCAGCATGCATGTGGCAAGGAAAGAAGGAGCCCCCACCTGTCCATACATCCCTTATTCTCCTCCACCAAAGACCATACAAGGAGGCCATGGCAAATCAAAGCAGGACAGGAACATCCTGGCACAGTGACACCAACACTTTCCTAAGTGCTGCAGCTCTATGGGGAGCAAATAGACCTAACACGGGTGATGCTGTTTTTCCAATGAGTGCCCTTACTAACAGTGACACCACAGCTTGTCCAGACAACGCAGCTGTGCAAAGGTCACCTTGAAAGGTATTATACAGAAGATCCCAGTGCCTCTCTCAGCTAGAAGATGCAATTAAAAATATATTACTTTAAATAACTCCCAAGGTTTTGTCCTCACTTGTTGCAAGAAGGCAGACATTTAAAAGACTCTTGTTTCACAGAATCACAGAATCACCAAGGTTGGAAAAGACCTACAAGATCATCCAGTCCAACCATCCACCAATCACCAATAGTTCTCACTAAACCATGTCCCTCAACACAACATCCATGTTGGATGTTGGATGTTGTTTCTTTGTCAAGATCTTCAAAAATCCTATTAATGCTTAAAAAGCTCTCTTTTGTGCAGTTAGCCATTTCGAACAGAAATGTGGGACAAGCAGGACTTGTACAAGCAAGCAAGCTCTGTCAAAAGCAAGCCTTAGGTTAATTGGCACACACAGCAGAGCATTGGATAAGGCCACGGTTCCTGTAAGGAGACAGCTGTGCAATGTCTCCACTCTCACACGCATCAAGACCAAGTCTTTCTGCCATGGGCATAATTTCCCCTGACCTCAGCAGGATGAGCCCAGGGCATGCACACCTTGCACAGCCTTTCTGCTGCCCTCCAGCACAGCAGGTTCAGGTGTTCAGGGATCTCCCATGACTGCTACTGCTTCCCATGGGACCCACTATCGCTCACACCAAATCTTCCTTTGGGAGGCAGGAATGCGCCAGACCTCACGGGACATCCCTCCCTTCTCAGGGGAAATCTATAGCACAAGCACAACTGATAAACTGTTAACATTAAGAAAACTAAAGGACAGCTGTCCCAGGAGAAGCACCTTCACCTATGCTGCCTGCTTCCATGGGCTAGAGAAGGTTTGTCACTCTGCAAGAACAGAGGTTTGTCACTCTGCGAGGAGAGCAGTGAGAGTTTTCTAGCCCTGCCTGTATTGCATCAAAAAGTCCCAGTGAATTACAGCAGGTCACCTATAAGTCACTGGAAGGGCTGGCCCAGGAGGCATGAGACACTTCCTTTCCCTGAGCACAGATCTAGTTGTTTCCAAATTCAGGGTTGAGACCCCATGTGGGTTGCAGGAATTATGACAATATTTACAAGGCTGACTAAAACTCACTTTCATCCAATATCTATGTTAGTGCTGCAGACCCACAGCTATCCACCCACACTGGAAAACTTCTGCTTCCCACCCTACTTCAGCAGTGCTGTCTCCTCTCCTACAGTCCTCTTCTTGTCCATGTTTCCACACAATTCTGCTAAAATTAGTTTAAATTGTTCATAGCAAATTATAAATCCTAGACAGTTTTCACCATGTTAATCATTTTTAATCATTTCAAGCATATAAATAATTGATGTTGATCTAGAAAAGGGCTAAATGGTATGGTGGAAGAAAAGCTCATGCTACTCAGACAGACAAGATCCACTCTCACCAATACCACCAACCCAAAGTGACATGCTCAGTCCCTCACCTGCAACAAACACAAATTTAATGAAAGTGTAGGACAAATGCACAATGCTCAACATGTGCACCAGCACAAGGTCCAAGCATAGCTCAAACATCTCTCTAGGTTTTGGAACTCACCCTCTCAGGGTTAAGATAGAAGAGGAACTGTAGCCTCATCTAGGACAGGTAGAACAAGCCCTCCTCAAGTCATTCTAGAGATGCAGGCTTCAGCATACTGAACTAGGACAGGGAAGAGCTTAATGGTACTAACTGGTCCAAAAAGGAAAATACTAGGATACAAATCAAAGATCAGCATCAGCTTTGGAGAGCAGCTGGTCCACTGCACCCCGCCAGCCTGAAAGCCTGTATCTCCTCAAACCCAGAGGAGCTGTCAAAGTCACTGGAGAAAAACGGAGAAGAACAAAATTCTCCAATTCCTTTGTGCTCATAAATCAGAGGTTTTGTTTTACTCCTACAAACTGCAGCAGTTTCCCTTCTTATGAGTGCACATGCTTAGTGAGCTTTTCCCCACTAGTTTGTCCATGCTAGTGGTCTTTCTGGTAGCTGTACAAAGCATCCCTATTGTACAACATTCCTTTGACATCAATATGTGTGTGCATACACATATATGTATGTATTTTCATACTGCTGTGTTCACCCATCAAAACAAACAAACAAACAAGCAATGAAAGCAATGATTTTCCCTTTCATTCTGTTTCATTCTGGTGCAAGCACACAAAATGAACAGATGATGACAAACTGTTTAAAATCCAGGATGGCACAAACACTGGAGTAAATGTTGGGCCCAAGGGCTGAAGCACTGCTCCAGCAAAATCCTCCTGGCCTTCTGTTACCAGTTTGAACCACGACCCGCGGTGCAAGGATGACAACATTACTAGTGGAAACTTGGAAGAAATTTATCTGTGAGGAAGCACAGATGTAATTCTGCTGATGTAAACAGATCATTGTGTATTAATGGCAAATTTAATCCCTGATGCTGATTACATTCCCCTTGGAGGTCCAGATAACCATCTGGTATAAATCAGTCTGGTTCCTTTGAGTTCAGTGGGATTACAACACTCAAATCTAGTTAAAGATCTCACCCAACGTCTGAAGAATATTTATTAATTTTCACTTAAAGCTGGCAAATACTCCTAGCTTCAAGTTTCTAACCAAAGGAAGAGGGAAGGCTGAACTGGTTCTGTCAGAACAAAAAAATTATATATATATTTTCCTAAACAGTGTAAAAAGGAAAAACAGACATTATTTCAGCTCAGCCTGAAACATTTAATTCAGAGTAAAAGGGTTAGAATTCCAAATGCTTCTAAGTTTCCTAAAAAATCCACACAAAGATTCGATATGCTTAATAGTACTATGTTAGAACAGAGAGATAAAGTTTTGTTTTGAAATGATAATTCCATTTAAGGAACAACAGAGAAAACTTATTTTATGGTTCAACAGAGCGTGTTCTAGGTGATGTACGATTCTTCACAAACTCAATTTTTTGGGGCATTCTAAGATGAACTGGAAGGAGTGGAAGTGCATTCTTTCAAACAGTAACATTTTTTTGGTGATAGTCACAACAGCAAGAGAACCTGGCAGTCTCATTCATTTCACTTTATCTCTTTTGGAGTCTGCTCTGTGCCTTTGATCACTTGCTAGCATTAAATAGTCTTGCAGCAATCTAATATTAGCAAAGCTGGTAACCCAGAGAGAACCTGGTTTCCTACTGCTGAGCAGCTTTTAGTAAAGACACCAGAGACCCTATCACACATGTGATTGCACAGGAGTGTGCACTTACACGTTGGACTCACCTCCAACCATGTCAGCAGATACTGGCATGCACTGCCCAAAACACATCGACATGACATAAGCACAGTGCAAAAAGAGCTTCTACCTGCTGCACACCCCACCTCTGCCCCACCAGCTAAACCTAGAGGTCACCACATCCTAGCACATCATGCTCATCACATTTTGTGAATATGAAAGAGCAGTGACTGCAAGTCTTTGAAAGGAAGGGAAACCCAGGTAAAGCAACCTCTCACCTTTAGAGATCACCATGGATTCTCTTGTAGAGTTGTGAGCTTCAGCCTCCACGGAAAAATTCCTGGTGCCCAGGTGACCTTTGATTGCTCCTTGGTATTGCTTGACAAAGGTTTCACTTCTAAAAGAACAATACTTATATTGATACATGCTACATTATCCAATGGTAATCAGGAGGAGGATTCTCATACCAAGGACTGTACACACACCCTGGACACGTGTGGCCCTAAAAACAAGATGAGAGCAACAGAAGCAAAACCCCAAAGTGCAGCAATAGCATCTTGGCACTGATGATTTCTTTTTTTAAAGCAGACTTTGTTACCTCCTCAACAGCTGGTGCCTGGGTGGTATCATCCATCTGGAATTTGAACTTCTTTCTAGGAACCTCATTTCTCTATATACATTTTCATTTATTCTTCAAGAGGCAGAAAGCAAGCAGAAACCAATGTTGAAGCCTTTTGCAGGATGTTCTGAACTGCTACCCTTTCCTGCCTACATTTGTTGCCAGTTGTTTATCCTCTTCAGAAAAAATTGATTTGCCATTTCCTTTCTAAAACTGCTTTCAGACGTGGAATTTTAATGTGAGGTGATCTGGGCAGGTCTCATCCTGAGAAGTGCTCGGCACGGCCACAGGCAGCTCCCCTTTAAGAACAGGACCATAGTTTTTAATCTGGGAGGGGAAAAAAGACAAAAGCAACAGTCATTTGATCCCAAGAGACTGTTAGTTTCAATAAGGAGAGCAAGTCAAACATTGCACACGATGTGGGACATAGAAGTTATTTACTCGCTTATTGATCACATTCCACATAAAAGTAAATGGGAATCACCCAATCCAAGGAAACCAGATTTTTATGAGCTGGACAGTCAGGATAGAACCTAAAGAGCCCTTTTAAGAAAAAAGAGTCTTTAGAGAATGACTCAGCTGTCACCCAAGCCAATGACTGTTTTCCAATAGAAAGAGATATTCCAAGCCCCAAATGTGGGAACTGGAAAGGAAAGGAAAAATTAGAGAGCTTTGGGAGAGCACCAAACCAACATGAATTGGAGGATAACACCCTCTAAAACTTCCAGATAGATAAACAGGTTTCAAGGGAGACTGACTGTCTGTCCTGGCTCCATAAAATAATCCTGGGCTGGGAGCAACAGTTTTACAACCTAGTGTTCAGATATGGGTGGCCATTGCAGCAAAGGTGACTGACATGTGCCTGCACGGCCAGGGAACAGCATCCTCAGATACACATGATTGCTGCGTGCCTCACATATCAGAGGCTGAACTGAAGTGATAATTTTCTGAAAGGCTGGAGCAATTGGAAATCACTGCCTCCTTCTCGCTTTTTCACAGATCCCATGTCTGTAGTGTGTCTGGTCTTTTTTTTTAACCACAGTCTTACACTTCTCCTGTGAAGATCGCCTTGTATGTGCTCTTACCACCCCCTTTCCACACATTTAAGCAAAGGGAGGCAAATGACATTTTCTTGTGGTTTGCATAATCTCATCTGTATTTATAGCCATTAGAATTCTGATGCAGATCTTTCCCTTTCATTTTCCGTTTCCAGTACAAAGACCCTGCAAGGAAAAGATCCTCACAGAAAATCTGAAAATTCTTTATAGTGACTTGCATTTATTTATGCGCCATCCAGACTTTTCTTACATAAGGCTGAATCACTCCGTAGCTGAACCTTTGCAAAGAAAGAAGAAAATAGTTTTTCAACATTTGTTTGAGTCTCACTTCTCTCTGTCACAGCAATGAGGGATAAGGGTTATGGCTTCACCAGAATTTTGATTTAATTCCCTGTGACTTTTTTTTTGTTTAATATTTCATTTATCCAGTTGCATCCTCTGGGCCAGCGTTTCCCTTTTCACTTTGACTTGTTTATAAATAGGAAAAGTTACATAACTGGAAATTTACTAACCTGTAAAACCCACAAAAGCAGGGCTTTGCCTAGACAGGGGCAACAGTGACATTATAGCAGTGCCACTGAGCCGATCTTGGTTTTGGGCTGCTACCTGGTACACTTCTAAGTGAAACTGGTTCTCTTGGAACATTTTCTTCTATTCAGTTATTCCAAGTATCTCGCTTATTTTCCTAATCCCTCACAAAACACGTCAGTGAGATGGTATTTTTCTTCCTATGCATATAAGTTGTGTTTCTTGAGAGTTTATTGCTAATTTGTACTTCTGACTCACACTGCTTCATATACAGCCATCAGCCCAGCCTGCCCAATAGAATCACAGAATCACCAAGATTGGAAAAGACTTCCAGGATCATCTTGTCCAGCTACCACCAATATTTCCCCACTAATCCATGCTGCTTAGTACGGTGTATTTTTTCACTTCTTAGGTTCGAAGAATGCATTTTCCTAGAGAAAAGAAAATCACACTGCACATCATAGTTCCCTAGGCTTCACTGGCCAACCTTGTCTGTGATGTTAGTGGGTACTGTCTACATGGCAGCAACTAAATAAAGTTTACCATATTTTCTGAAGAAAAGGATCTAGTAACCCACACAACTTCAGCAGTCCATGGAAAGGTGATCAAGAATCACAACCTTCTGAGCACCCTGATGTAGCTGTAGGTATCCCTGTTTTGCAAGGGGGGGTGGATTAGATGACCTGTAATGGTCTTTTCCAACTCAAACGATTCTATGATTCAGTGAGTGGCAATTAAATTATGTGTGGTGAAGTGTAATTTCTCTCTTGCAATGATTTTGTGCCTGTGTCTGTACATGTATGCCCCTCCACTGCTGGGCAGGCAGCAATGTAACGCTGTGGCAGCTGCCAACACTCTTCACACCTGTTTGGAAAGTTAAGCAGAGAGTTCAAGCCTCACATTTAGCTTGAACCTCATCCTGCAACTGGTTTCAACACCTTTGAGATTTCCATCTATCACTGTATCCCTGGACAGAAAACTGTTCTGGAGTTGCAAATCACTGTCATGTCTGCTCCATCAAAAGCCAGTCAGCAATTACATACATCTAACTCGCCTAGAAAACTGCATCAAGTATCTCTGTAGATAAAACAGATGGACACCAAATATTTGGCTCAAATGAGAAGGTACTTGAGGCAGAAATTCTCACAGTGAGGCCATAATTTCAGAGATATGTTAAACCAGGATGGGACTGCTATTCCATTCTGCTCCTTAAGGGTAAAGGGGTCCAGGAAGCCTGGATGCTCCTCAAGATGGAAATCTTAAAGTCACAAGAACAGACTGTCCCTGAATAGCGTAAGGCGAGCTGTAGGGGGAGAAGACCGGTGTGGATGAGCCGGGAATTACTGTCAAGACTCAGGAAGAAAAAGAGAGTCTATGTCCTCTGGAAGAAGGGACAGGCTACTAGGGGAGATTACAAGGAAGTTGCTAAGGCATGCAGAGAGGAAGCCCGGAAGGCGAAAGCCCATCTTGAACTTAGATTGCAGTAAAGGAGAATAAGAAATCCTTTTACCAATATATCAACGGCAAGAGAAGAACCAAGGATAATCTCTATCCTTTAATTGATGACGCGGGGAATGTGACCACGGAAGACAAGGAGAAAGCTGAGGTCCTCAACGCGTCTGTCTTTCTAGAGCATTCAAATGTTAAAGAAGTGTGCCCCAAAGAAGCTGCATGAAGCAGCATGAAAGATGGCCTTAAGGGTCAGAAAAAGAAGAAATGCATGTGATGCCTGCCCAGACTCTGCACATCCCAGACGATTTGACTTGTTAGCAGTCTCTTACACAGACACAAGTTGCTGGAGCAGGGATTTCAGCCGCTTAGCATCAACAAGAAGAGTTGGGTTGAAAGCAGAAAGAATACACCAAATGCTCATCTTGAAAATGAAATCTGATCTGCCTGCAGCCCATTTTGCACTTGCTTTTCTACTGACACAAGAGGGACAATATTTGCTGTTCTCTGGTTGCTTGCCACCAACAGAAGCACAAAGCTCAGCACTGTCCAGGTTTCTTGACAGTAAGCCAGAAGAACACAAATGTACTCAGAGGTTTTATAAATGACTAGGGAACCCGTCCCCAGAGTATTAATTCTCACGTAATTGTTTTGAGGTACTCATCTTACCCAGGTACTGTGCAAATATGACTGTCAAGAAAAAAAATAAGCTCTGCTCTAGATCAGCTTGAGTGTCAGAATGAACTTCTGAGAAGATCCCCAGGCACCAAGTTCTGCCAAGGAGTGATGGTGCTGCAGGCCAGGATCAACTGAGGCATTACGCCTGCCTCACTGAATGCTGTTATCACCGTTATTACTTCACAGCTCATTTTTTCTTTCTGGCACAAGGCTTTCCAAGCACAGGAATTTACTGAACTCCTGGTAACTTGCCGTGCACGTGGACAGAGCTGGCATTTGTCTGCCTTTGTCAGAGGTGCACTGCAGTCTCTGTGCTTGTAGTCCCTACTCACATATACTACATTTAGATGAATCTAGTGTTTAATCAAGCAGTACAGTTTCTTGAAATCTTCACCAGCTGCCTCTTTAGTTCATTTTTCCATTTATGAAACATACATTTTTAAAAGGTCGCATTATTACAAGCTCTTGGTGTTAGCAGCACATCTAGTTCCATAGAGACAGTACGTATTTTAGCTGTGGCTGCCCATCACAGACTTTGCTAATTCTTTTACCTTCTCCTGGTGGTACTAATGAGCTAATGGCTCACCTTCATGTTTCTGGTGCCTTTGCAATAATGTAATTTGAAATGAACTACACCGCTTCAAAAAAGTGCTAGAGAGATGTAGTCATAAAACATGTTAGACATTCAAAACTAAATTATTCTTTCATTTGTCTCCTCAAAAGCTCAAGAAACATTTAAATGTTGTACTAAGGGACACAGTTTAGTAGGGAAATATTGGTGGTAGGTGGACTGCTGGACTACATGACCTTGGAGGTCTTTACCAACCTCAGCAATTCTGTGAATGTCTAAAGAAATGGCAACACCTCCCAGTAACTTGCCACTTACTGAGTTTCAGTTTTAGACATCCAATACCGGAGAGCAAACACTGAAAGCTGCCATGTCCTGACTCAGCTTCTCTGTTTATCTGTGCAGAAAAGTGTGGGCAAGGATGATAATTACTAATATAGCTGATTTTATACAAAGACAAAGATCTAGTGATTCTCGGCAGAGTAAAGCATGACTCCAAAAAGTGACCATTCCCAGCTTTTTATGAAGGTTAAGTGATGACTGAGAAACAGGAGGGAAAGAGAAGGGCTCTTTTTGGTCTCTAATTCTGCCCCTCATTAGGAACAATTGTTGTAGATTCTCAAAGTGCAAGTGTTTCTGTTCACCTGGGTCCTTTGGGGATGGCACCATGGCATCAACATTTGTTTTGGAGATACTCTTACCAAATAGAAAGGTATGAGTATCTCCATGCCAGGGCAGCCTCCACAGTCCTCTAATTGGCTGTGGCTGGGACCACTGGCAGCAGTGAGTTAGTCTGCAGTTCCAAGTTCATAAAGCAGGAAGATGTCATAAAAAAAAAGTGAAGAACAGGTTGGTGTAAGCCTGACCAGCACTAACAGAGTTTAAGGTATCTAGAACCATAGTTTTTGTCTCTTTCAAACAATGGAGGACCTAACAAAAGTCAATTAAGATACATCTCCAACTCATTAAGCAAGCCCCACCTCAATATATATTTCATACCAACATAGCATTTATTTAGAGAACTGAAAATTGCTTTTAGACTTTTT